CAGGATTGCTTTGATGTTTATCTTGTTGCCAAATTCATGTTTTTTTTTTCTCCGCTGGTCTCTTATTCCAGTGTTTCTAGTCGAGAGGGTATTGTCTATACGGCAGTCAAGACGGCTGAAACTGGTTACCTCCAGCGACCGACGGTTGGTCAAAAGCTACCTATTGTGCAAACTGGTTGGATCCCGTGATCATCAAAATCAAAAACAAACCTGGAGACAATGAACGTCATTTTATACACGTTCACAGTCATTGGTCACAATTGATATTGGCTACGATGGGATATCCACAGGACTTTATAGGGATGTCCATATAATTTTGAATGAAGTCCCAGTACTGCTGGGGGAAGTCAATGGGTATTAACCACACATATTCCATCAGTCCTGGATCGGAGTACGATTGCCTTAGTGCAATAGTATAGGACAAGTCTGTTGTACTAGCTCGTATCAAGGGACCCCAGAACGATAGGTGGTCTGCCGATTGGTCAACTGTAAAGCCTTGCTCATTACAGAAAATTTGATTTGAGGCTTTATTAGAAACTGGCCCGAGGATGTTGCTACTAGGGTGAGATTGAATTCTCGCCCGTTCAAATTCTGAGTTACTTTAGTCGGGAATAATTTGATAGGAAGCAGGTGGCAATTTTGGGTTACGCCTTCGTTTCTGTACAGCTGCAAGGAATCAGCAGCAGGGACATCGAGCCGGAATCTGGTGGACGGGTTGAACACCGTACAGGTTTGATGGCTTTCACTTCCATGGAATTCATGGAATATTGACACATTGATAGGCACACTTTGATTGAAACCACGTTCGGCATAGCGCTTGGCACAGCTTTCGGCGCTGCTCAAAAACTCGGCACAGATTAAAATGTGCAGATTTGAATACCCCTTGGGTAACAGTTTTCATACAACAACGAAATCTAATGAAAGCTCGCACTTTCTCTTCCCTAATAAACAAATACCATAAACGAACTGTATCCCAGATGGGTAAACTATCCCACACATGGTTTGGATGATACCCCGAACACGTCGTTAAGCTCTCTTTTATGGTTATTTTTATTAGGGTTGTCAATCACGTATCCATCCAGCACCGAAAGCAAGATTTGTGATAGATCAGTGCACGAAGATGTCAAATTTGACCATTTTAGGTGGTTGCCATCACTTTTACTCTGGTGTAAAATGAAAGGGATACAACAAGACCAAAGTGTGAGGTTAGGGACCGTGCACTGATGTATGAGCTTTCATTGTGTTCGTACTGAGAACATAAAGCACAGTTGCGCCGTCATGACGGCAGCGAAGAAAGCTCTGATGCTTTTCTGCTCGATTATCAAAGTGTATTGAATATACAGGTATATTATTTTGCACACATCACACATAAATAGTAACGTCATCATTTCAAACCGACATGCACCTGAATATTATTATTTTTCCTGGTCTTGCTTAAAAATTCCCAGTTTTTTCTCAGTTTTTCCTGGTAGAAAAACATTCCCGAAATTTGCCAAGTTTTCCTGCTTCACTTGCCACTCTGTAGTTTTTATATAGTTTGTAATTATTTTACAAACATATTAAAAAACAATTTTTTTGTTTTGAAATGAATTTACGATATAGCCATCACAAATTTAATGTTGTATTATTATTGTTTATAATGTTTTCTGATTATATACTCATTCAAAGTTTCATATTTCTTGAAATCAATTGTTTTAGTTTCACGCATTTTTTTTCTACATTCATGGAGCATTATCAAAGTAACTCCAAATCAAAATACTGATGTTCGGTCACAAAACTAAAAATTAGTGCAAATTATTTGATTTCCGTTAAACATTTCACTAGCGATTTGACTCTAGGATCCGCAGTACTTGTTTAAAAATAAAATAAAATATGAAAAACATTCATTGCTGTAAGAAATATTTACAATAAACTTTAAAAAGAACTATCAATGTTACCCCATTTTACGGTACCATGATTTTTACTTCTTTTTCTCTACAACTTTTTCTCAGACGTCATTTTGATCAGAAATTCCGTTTCCGTGCTACATTTTTTTTTTAATTTAAGGACGCCATTTTCAAAATGTTACAAGATCTAAAATGGTCGAATTTTTGCAGGAATGTGAATCATTGCCCATAACAAATAATTAGGCAAAGTTTCATACAAATAGGAGAAGGTCGATTCAAAAACATTTTGTTTTGCTATTTTGCTTGGAACTGCTACACTGCAAGAAGAATGATATACATTGAAATAAATTCAAGTGTTCACTCGACTGTCGACAGAAGCAGACCACTCTCAATGTGTGTCACGCGATCGTATTTTCTTTCCTTTAACGTCGGTCTCTGTTTCGCAATCTAGTGCCAATCACCGACGGACATCGATTGCCATCCATTGACGGCAATCGAATGTGCAGAAAGGCAGCTTCCACACCTGCGTAGGATATCGTACCCATTCAACACACATGGGCCGAGACCAACGGCTTTACTTCCCTTCCGAAGGAAGACGTGACCAGAGATTTTTATGCCTCAGAAAAATCCCACCGACCTCGGCTAGGATTGAACCCAGACCCATCGGGGTGTTAGAAAGCAGTCACGCTTACCACTACACCACCGGCGCCGGCTACGCGATCGTCTGTTTACTCGGAAGCAACCTTTGTGTGGTCCTCCTCATTGTTCTTCATCAACAGTTCTTTCAGTCGATGCGTCGTCGACTTTGGAAAGCAACCGTTTCGTGATGAATGTGTGAGTGCTGGCCACGCTTTGCGTCCATTGCTGCAATGGAAGCGTTTTGACCCTTGTTGGCGAATCTGCCATACAATGAAACCACTGGAAGCGGCTCCCGTTCTGGTGGAGGAGGCTTATTGGATAGCGGAAGATAACATGTTTATTGTGTTGTACCTTTTGATTATAGTTTTAAGATGTATTGTACAGTGACTTTAGTGAGTTGCCTTTTTAAGGGCTTTTTAGTGACTAGCCTGAAAAAAGTGACTATGTCACTAAAAAGTGTCTCGCTATCAGCCCTGCAATTATAGCTTTTGAGTATTATTTGTCCTTAATATCAAGTGTTCATTTGAAGTTAAATCGCTAAATGAATAAATGGTCAGCAAGTTGTTTCCCAGGATTGAACCTGCAGTGTATCGCAAAATTGAGCATAGTGAAACATTTTTTGAAACATTATGAATAGATAGGGGAAATTTCTCTAATGTTGGCCTATGGATCTAAGATTGGGCCCATCGCTAAAAATCTGCTATTTATCAATTTTATCTAGGTGAACGCGTTATTAGCACGTTACTAATGGATATTTTTGGTTGCTATTGAAAATTTAGTCGATTGCTGAATTTATGTATGGGCCCAAATTAGGGACACTTAGGCCGACATTACCTGCATCTCCCCTATATTTTTTTTAATCTTGGCTGATGGTTAAATAGATGTTTAGTGGGGGGAGACCCCGGCGTAGCGGTTAAGATCCTACATCTCACGCCAAAGTCACGAGTTCAACTCTCACCTCTCAACACTCATTCAAGTCACGAATGACCCAAGAGCGTTAAAGTAACTATAATATAAAAAAAGATGTTTATTGATTTATGGTTTTAGTTTTGGACTTTATTGGAATAACCTACATGAAGTTAGATTTATTTTAGTAAAACGTATGATTTTTATCTTTTTACCTAGTGGACGAATTTTAGTAAAATTATTGGAATATGAATGATCTTTACTATGACTAAAAATGAGCTAAATTTCAAAAAGTTTAGTTCATTTTATTTTAGGTTTATCAAGGAAAAGGCGTTTTCCCAAAAAGCTCTTACTTTTAATAAACGCAACCCAATAAGCCGAACACTGTACCAATAATTGATAAATGTATGATGCTTCAGCAGCCAGAAATTCAGAAACCTATCTCTTTAAATTGTGCGTTTAAAGCTGTTTTTTTTTTTCTGAAATTTAAGGACATCTTTTTCCTTTGGTTTGTTTTTTTCCGTCGATCTTGTTTTCCGTGCTGAGCACCAATGCTACCGACGTGCCAGGAAGGCAGCTCCCACACCTGGACCCTACCTATCGACCCATCAACTCATGAACCGGGGACCAACGGCTTTACTTCCCATCCGAAGGAAGGCGTGATCAGAGATGTTATGCCTCAGAACATCCCGGCGGTGCCGACTGGGATTGAACTCAGGCCTGCTGGGGTGAGAGGTAATCACGCTTACCACTACACCACCGGCGCCGCTATTTAAGGACATCGGTACGCTCAATTTTGAGATACACTGTATATTATCTGATCTTATATATTTGATCATTACCGGACATAAGCTAGAGGTGTTGGGTTAGAATATGTAGTGTAATCTTTTTACAGTTTTAAATGCATTTTAATAGCAAGTCTCCTACACACTTTAAATCAATAACTCTAGCTCGTGTAGCGAAGAAAAGAACTCGTATATTCTGGCATTCTCGTAACGAAACAGGGGGTAACGCCCCCACCCCCATTAAAACAACGACTTTTGTGTACTTGAACCACCCTAATCTAACCATCGCCAAGAAGCCAGCGGTGACATGCAAACATGCCAACAAAGGCCACCAATGTAGGTTTATCGGTTCAAGACCTTGGTAACCCTGAAAAAGCTCTGACATTGAATGGAAGTTATTTAAAACACGCTACATATACCAAATATAAACCATATAGCAACAATATAGCCGCAATAACTTGTGTCCGCTATCCTTCTCGTATTGCTTCTTTTCTTCTGCATGCACTCCGGTGCATCGCATCGCGCCCGCTTTTATTCCACATCCATAGAGCGCAGCGCATTGCAGCACTGCATTGAACTTGAACTTGCATGGATTCCCGCCCTCTTCGTTCCACATGCTTGTACGGAAATAAACAATCCAAAGTGACCTTTACCACCCAAACAGCTCGCTTATTAGCACTCAACGACATCAGCCATAATAATGCACTTTCACCAACAACCCGCTCGTAAGGATCGACCCGATTGTACATAATTATAAATACCTTTTCCCCCGCCTGCCACTTACCTTAAAACTGCTATGCACTAGTGTTTCGTCTAAGTCTATCACCATGCACTTTCTGTGCATATCCGAGTGTCGCATCTGTGGCAGCAGATACCGGGGCTGGCCCTGGATTGGCGGGGGCGTGATCGAACCATCGATGGGGGTCCCATTTTGATTGCTTTTCGTCCGCGCATTCCGCCAGCAGCAGAATATCGTCTCGAAGAAGCCCCGTTTGGGGGGTTTTAGCCTATCTACATTGTTCACTGCAAAATGGAGAAAGAGAGAGAGAGAGAGAGAGAGAGAAAAAAAACGATAATTAGTGAACTAATGGTTGCCAATCAAATGACGTTTAAAGGAGTGAGAGTTTTAAGGAGTCTGGATTTTTTTTGGGAGATAAAGTGAATTAGATTCCCAGACTGGCTGTGGGATGGGAGAAATATACCACGTTGTTGTTTTATTACTGGGTTCGTCGAAGGTAAGCTGCAATGCTTTTTGAATTAATGAGCACATACAAATGAGGTAACCTTGATGAGCAGCCGTGAAAATACAAACACACACCCTTATAGAGGCAACGAAACCCGCAACGAAGTCGCCAATGACCACAAAGAAAGCAGTGCAATTTACTGCAACCATTAGAAGGTGCTGTAGATTACCTTTTTTTTCTACCGCCACCCAGCCGTTCAGGCAGAAAACGTGATCTTTTTGCTGATTAGATAGGTTATCTTTCCGTAAACACAAGTCCGCTCGTGCTTGGTATCATTTACAGCAGTGCTATCGCATCCTTTTGGTGCGCTGCGGCAAGGTCGTATACTGCGGTTCGTGTTCCGACAATGTATCCAGAGAGATTGCAGAACTGCAGCATCTTCTTATTTTTCTAGGCGTTGATTACATTTTACAACTCGAAAGATTTCCTCGACCGAACCGGGAATCGAACCCGACGCCTCCGTCTTGGTAATACCGGGCCTTTACTGACTAGGCTATGTACCCGAGCAAAGTCTGAGATCAAATTGAAATCTAAATTTGATATTGTGATTTCGCTGATAATGATTACTCAGGTTGCTGCCGTTTTGGTCGTTTTAACGGTTAAAATATCAAAATTGAGAGCAAACATATCTTCCTGTGACATCACATTGAAAACTATTTCTGCTATCAGTGAGAGCAAACTGAAAACCAAATTTGATATCCATTTTTCCTGTTGATACCATAACAAGTATTCAATTTGAGGTATTTCTAAGGCAATGAAAACAAACCCACAACAACATATTTTTGAAGAGCAAATGTACAGCAAAATGAAAACAAAATTAGGTATCAAATTTGTCAATTGCGTAAACTGAAATCAAATTATGATTTCAGTTTGATGTTGATATCAAAACTTGATTTCAATTTGCTGTCATTTTGATGCTGGACTTTGCTCGGGTAGCTCCAGACCTGCAGCATTGCTTCCATTTTTCCGAATTGGCTAGTGCATATACCCACCTCCCCCAGGTTTCCCCGGTATTATCAGCCACATAAACCACGAATTCGTGAGCAGCGTTTGTTATCATCACGAGAGTAGCGAGATCCATTTCGGAGCAATTTTCAAAGAAGAGCAACAATTTCGTTCTTCATTTTTCACGCAAAATCCCACGTTATAAATATCCAGCTTTCGAATGGAAATATGAAACCGCTGGGTATGGCGAGCACGGCGACAGTCACGTTTCTAGATTTCTCCAGGGAAATGTCAGGACCAAAATTTGCCGGTACCGCTTCCAGCGAGTTATTTTCCAGCGGACACAAATTCCCATACTGGCGCAAGAGACTTTGATGAAGGTAATTTATATTCGACGGTTTATTTTACACCCTTTGCGCGCCTATTCGTATTATTCAATGATTCTCCCATACCATAATACAATCAAGTGAAGTACTGGCGGCAGGTAGGATCTAATTTGGTGATGATGTTGCTGATGTAGCATTATGGTAGACAGTAGATTGTTCATTTGAACTAAAAATAGAACGAGAAAAACACTCATTGCTTCATGTGCTTTGATACACACTGGAGTAGTCAGCACATGCAGGGGCATCCTTCATCGCAACCACGGGAAATACAAAAAAAGGATCTTGCTTGGCGAACTACAAGAAAGTACATAGGGGGAATGACGGCTTCGGCATGACAGACTATTTTCGGCAACCCAAATTGAAACACTATTTTCACTAGATTTTCTTACGAAAACACTTCGCTGAATGCATGCAAACGATTCTTTATGCTTTCAGCTTCAATTTGACTATATTTTTACCACTGAGAAAAAGCAATCTAGCAAGGTTTTCTTGAAATGAAACACACGCACTACAAATTGTAGCTGATTTCGAGTTGCCGATAATAGAACAGCAGATTTACATGCAGTTCAAATGGAACGGTTGCCGACAATACTCGCTCTCACTAGAGAAGATAGGAGCTTTGTAAAAGCGTTTCAAAACAGTTTTTGACAATTCTTTCGGCTGAAATTGTTAGAGCAGTTGGCAGCAAAAGATTGTAAACAAACCAATACTGCATATGTGTGCGTTCCTTAGAGAAAAAGGCTATAGAAAGAAGGTCGCTGCTTAGGTTGCCGAGAATACGTAAATTCCCCTATGTAGTAAAATTATATGCGGAGTCTGAATTGTGCACAGACGCTTAACAAACTTTACTTGTTATGTTATTGAGTAAAGTACGCAATTACGAAATCGCATTTACATGAAATTTTTGAACGATGTACCAACACAGCAAAAATTTAATTTTGATATCACATCAAAGTGGATGCACTTCAATCGTGTCGAAAATATGGTATAATTCTTGCCAAAAAGGACAAAATTATCATTAATACAGTGCATGAACTGACATTACGCTGCTATTACTGCATTTGTTTATTTTTGCGGCCATAAACATTACATGAGATCTTCGACATGATTGAAGCGCATTCTTTTGGAGGTACCGTGGAGATTCTAAAATTGAGATAACAATTTGAGATTCTAAAATAAAACAACCCCGAAAAAAACGTTGGTATTTTTCTAAAAATATTGGAAAAATATATAAAAAATCTGAATAACTAAGATTTTTGTCATTTTCTAAACAAAATTTACATGTAAAAACATTTTTTCTTAGTCATCATGACAAAAAGTTGAACTAAAAAAACAACAAAATTCGACCTTTTGGTTTTAGTTAGAGCAGTTCTACGCCAAATGACGAATTGATCTGATGCAACCATCTCCTATTTGCATGAAACTTTGCATAATTGGTTGTTATGGTCAATCATTCACATTTCTACTAAAATTATTCCATTTAGAATCTCACAAAAAACTTCAGAATGACTTATTCGAGATTACTCAACAAATCATAGCTCAAAAACGTAATTTCCAATCGAAATAACGTCTGAACCGAAGTTGTGAAAAATAGCTATTTCTAGATAGAGCTGAAATTAGAGCGTAACAGCTTTTGTAAACAATGACTTCTACCGATGATTTCTAGGAACTCAAGGCACGCTCACACAGACCAACATAACCATCGGATAGGGGATGTCTTTCACTACCTGGTGAGGATGTTGGTTTGCGTGGGCGAGCCTTGAATTTCATTAAATCATTGATAGAATTCATTGTTTACAAAAGCTGTTAGGCCCTAATTCCAGCTCTATCTAGATTTATGAAACAAGTTGCAAAAAGAAGTTTTTTTTCAGCACGAGTCGTAGTTTGTCCAAAGAGACTTGCCGAGTTGGAGAATTATTATTGTTTGAATGTCAATTCTGATATTAATTTTTTTTTCTATTTCGCCTGTAAATTCATTATAGTTTAACTTGTTTCATGATAAGATAGAAAAAATATGTTCAGATGTAATTTTTTTTTTCAGAAATCAATGGAAAAAAACTATTTTTTTAGACAAATCAAAACGTGCCAGAAAAGTTTTTTTGTTCCTCCCCAGGATACAATCCAGGAATTTTTATGAATAATATCTTTATATAGAGATTACTACACGAACAAACAAGTTTTTTTTTATATATCTTTATTAAGGAGACTTTCAGCCTTAAGCTGGTTCGTCTCCGGACACCCCAGAAGGGGGTATCCCAAAGGGAGAGAAGGTATAGAGTTTTTATTTTGCGGAGTTGAATGATGGTTGCGGTTCCAGAGGGGAACTTATTTTGCCTTACTGTCCTATGTTGCTGTCATCTTTTGTGTTTTCTGTTTTGTTTTGAGGACCCCAGCAGAGCCCCACCGGTAGCAGCTGCCAGGAGAGACCTGGCACCCGCTACCGGCAGGGAATGCCGGGCCTACTGTCATAATGTATATGGGTTAAACCCTCTTGAAGATTCCGGCCTCCTTCGCGAAACATATCAGTTGTGCCTCTGCTACCGGGTCGTTCTGAAGGGCGTCTCGGATGTTGCCCGGGATCCCGTAAAGTTCTCGTGGTCCGTGGAAACAAGGGCAGTTTATAAGAATGTGCTCGACCGTCATTATTGCTCTGCAGGTGTCGCATCTTTGGCGGAACTTTCTGCCACTGCTGCTCCCCATGTTGTGGGTGATGCGGGTGTGGCCGGTTCTTAACCGGGACAAGAATCTCTGGTCGTTAAACCTTGGGACATCCGTCCAGGGAAGGGTTACCCCTTTGGTCTTCCGGATGAAGAGGTCTCTCCTGGCGAACCATTCGCGGTCCCATGCCGTCCTGAGGGTTGACTTGATCCAACTTTTCAGGTCCTGTCTGGGACCGAAGTGTTGGCGAGTCGGCCATTTTGTCCAATGGCAGCAAGGTGGTCTGCTTCTGTGTTTCCGGCAATTCCGCAGTGTCCCGGTATCCACATGAAAGTGGTGCCAGGGGGGGTGTGGTTTTGTATGGCCTGAATCCAAGGGTGGCGGGCAGTGGCGGATTCCAGTGCCGTGAGGGCGCTAGCAGAGTCGGTTAGTACACATAGCGGGGAGGAGGATGGTAGGGAAGCTGCCTGACTCCTGGAAGCATAGCCTTATCGTTCCCATCCCGAAAAACCTCGGTCCAGCACTATTACCGAAGGATTTCCGGTCGATCTCCTTGACCAGTTGTTGCAGCAAAATAATGGAGCGTCTTGTCAACCGGAGATTAGCGAGATTCCTTGAGGGGAACAACCTACTAGACCACCGACAGCATGCTTTCCGTTCGGGGCACGGAACTGGTACATACTTTAGTAGTCTTGGCCATATAGTACATGAGGCACTCCGTAAGGACCAGCACGTCGAGGTGGCCTCCCTGGATTTGGCCAAAGCTTACAACAGAGCCTGGACACCCCAA